GGGGCCGGCCGCAGCAGCGGTGCTTCACGGGATCACCCGTTTACAGCCGCTAAATAGAGGCCACCCTGCTCGGTGAGGTGGAGCTTAAGAAGTTCCACATCAGTTCTGCTGGACCTGGCTCCTGCGGCACTGATGCTGAAGGGCAGATGAGCTCAATCCCACCCTCCTCTCTATAGCTGAGCCACTGCACGCTCAGCTGGGCAAGGTGGAAGAGTTCTTACTCACCATGTCTGAAAAAAAAAGATCGTATTCCTTGTGTCTTTACCTCTACACCTTTCCCTTGCCAACACGGCTAAAATCATGTTGAACCTAGCAGCCCAGCAGCGTCATGTCCCACCCCGTTTCTGCCTTGCTTGTGTGGATCGAACAGGCGTGACAACATGCTGCCACTCCTCTTCTGGGCTCTTGCACGTTCTCTTGCTGTGTGAAAATCAAGTTCCACATCAGCGGCCCTTTGCTTCTAGAAATGCCATTTGGTCACTCAGTTTCCCACTAGAGAACAACAAGAAATGCTTTAACATAAACACGAGTCACCTTCAAGCAAGACAGTATACTATTTAGAAAGAAACAAACAAACCCCCCAAACCACAAGAAGAATACAGTACTTTAATAATCAAGAACTTTTACTGGTTTACAATCTGACAGCATATAGTGCTGATATGCAAAAACACTTGGTTCATTTTTCCTCAATGGAAATTTAAATTGAACACTTGCTCGTTTGTAGCTTACAAACAGTATTACTCAAGCTGTAGAGATAACGAGGCTATTTCTAGAAAATATAACAGTAAATAGATAATTTATTTGGAATACAGGCTATGTTTCCACACTTAGCTTGGAACCAACAAAATAAACATATGTGGTCATTTGACTTCTGCATTAAGCCTGAAGAATAATCTAGAAGAAAGCAGTATCACCTCTTTCGAAAAAAAGACCTTGTGTTTATGGCAGCTATCAAAGTAATATCACTTTTGCACTCAAATACAAGTCATACATGAGATCTCACTGCAGTTTGTAGCACTACATCAGTGTTCACTGTGCTTCTTGAGACTGGTGATGATTCCTAGCTACAGACTGAATTCCTTCATTTATTCAAAAAAGGGTACCCATTGTAGGTACAGAAGTGATCGCTCTAAATGTTCTGGGCACCACGCACAAATGTCCTCCAACAATTTGGAAGGTCAAACCCTCCTGGTTGAAAAAAAAAAAACCCTAGTTTTGTATGCCCAGCCTGTCAGGCATCTGTCCTGAAAATGCCAACAAGCAGTCAAATACTTAGCTCCTCTTTAGAGAACTAAACCAATTATTAAGCTCCACTACTACCATCTGTGACGGGACACCTGAGACTAGCAGTTTAAAAGCCCCTGCGCCTTTGACTGGAATATAAATCATTAAGTTGACTGGAATATAAATCATTAAGCAGCTAACTTGATTTAATGAAGGAAGGAATTTGGGCCATTGCTTCCATTACCCAGCCTTCCACTTTTCTCCTTCATCTTCAAGTAGGAGATAATGGCATAATCTTGCTAGATAATGATAAAATAAACCATAGAATCACAATACATGAACAGATTCCATGAACATGCAGCCCTTCAACAAAAGAAGGAAGACATTAGAGCCTGGGTTTTGACACAAAAGTATTACAGTGCCTCACAAAAAGTACAGTACAGCTTTAGATAACTCAGCACATGACATGCTTTGGCCATGTTGATACAGCACTGTCTGTAAAAAGACACTTAACTTGTGACTTTATGCATACTATATAAGAACTGAAATTTCAAAATCTAAAAAGTTCTTGCAAATTTATAAAAGCCAAAACCAAAAGAAGTGAAGTAGCCCTTTTTGTTACTAGTCAGATCACTTCTAGTTGTTTTGAAGTTGTGGTATGTAGTCTTTGGTTTTAACAGAATCAATTCCAACTTGCTTTTCAGAGCACACATTTATTTGAAATTACAATAGAAGGCCAATTTTGAAATAGGAAAAAAAAAAATGCTCTTCCACAAGTATAACCAGTTATATACATCCTCACTGAAGGCACTATAGTTTAAAATTCTCTGTACAGTTGCAATAAAATTCAAAGTCACCTCCGGAATAAGGTCTGCCTTTAAGGATCCAAAATAAGATTTGCAGCAAATTAAAATATGCACACAGTGTCGGAGTTGCTCTGTTAAAATTTTTATAGTATGCATAACCTGATGAAAAAAAAAAAAAAACACTTCAGTCCAATATGTTTTCTACACATAAAATGCTCACTATATTACAACCCTTTGATGAAAGCAGCTGTCAGTTGAGGTCTCTGTTGCTATAAATACAGCTGAGCAGTCCTTTAGAACATTTTTGATCTCATGACAACATTGAGCAAACTAGTACAGTATAGTCCAAACAGACCTGCATCAAAAAGCCTTCAGATGTTCATATTATTGCAAAGAAGTCTACCATGATCAGGTACAGAAGATGCAGTGATTCTTGTTGCCTTATTAGTTTGCTTAGATATAGAACTTTATATACTTTAATAATGACTAGGCCATACAAATTTGACGCTGCACGTCGGTTAAATTTCTGCATGTCATATATAGTGTTTCAACATCAATACCCAAGTAGAATAGAAAAATCCTTCCTTAAAAGTGTTAATTTTTGCTTTATTAAAAAATGATAGATATATATGAAGTACTAATAGTTTAAAGCAACAGCTTGAAAAAAAGGATTTTTCCATTTGTCAGCAACTTAGGACAGTGGTTTTATAGTTAAGGCTCTTTTTCCTATACAGAGTTATGCAGAATTTTTAAGAAAAATGCATGTCCACTACTTCTAGAGAAATTGACACTTATGAATGTAGTTAAGGATTTTTAAACAAAGAATATAAACTAAATAATGCTGATGAACACATGAAATTAGTCTAAAAACGTGTCCAGTTTACATACAGAGCAAGATACAGTTACGGGACATTTTGAAAAAGACTTCAAGGGGTTTAGGTGTAATAGAAAAACTAATTTTTCAAGGCTCCTACTTTTTTTTTTTTTGGTAAGGCTTCCCCTTTTTTCTTAGTCCCTCAAATCTCTTAGAAGAAGTCCCTACCCATTTTATTTTTGTTTTTAATCACAGTATCAAGAACTAATACAGAATTTCAAAAATAAAATTACAAATAAGATAGCTGTGAAAGATTTCTCCTCAGTGCATATGAACAAGGCTGAACATCTCTACACAATGAGTCCAGCTGTTGTGTGAAGAATCCCTTATCACTAAACCATTGTTTTCAAGAATATACACACCCCTCCATGTAAATAAGCACCCCCAGATTTTCTAACAAACATTTCAGTCTGCCCAATGATACTGAACAGCCCATTCTTTGGCTACAGACAATTACACCATTGATTTACAATCATATTTTGAGTAGAAGCTCAAAGCACAGCCCAAGTCTTGAAATACAAAAAAATTATTTAAAAAAAAAAAAAGTCAAAAACTATGGTACAGAGACTGGTGCAGTTGCTGTGTCTCAATCTGAAAAACGTGACGCATACCAGATTATTACTATAGCTTTGCTCTAAAAGGAATGGGGTTTCCAGTCTTTTCCCTTCTAGCCCAGGTAAATGTAGCCCAAGATTGCCAAATCGTGCCTTGACGACCTTTGAAAGCTCCACAGTTTTGGTAACAAGATCTGCTAGTTGTCTCCTTCAACCCTCCTCTTTCGAACTGTAACAAGAGAGGAAACAAAGTTTCACTATTTTATCATTGTAACTACTTTTTGTATTTTGACATCAACAATTGCTTTGCCACAAAGTTTCACGATACAATTTAAAGTAATTAACAATTAGTATTATCCAAAATATTGAGCTTATGCTACAGCAGTGCTTATTGTGTTATTCATAAACAGCTTCAAATACTTGTGAAGAGAGACTTGTGGGAAACACTAATCATTTTGTTTGGTAAGCAAATTTAGCCAGTACCCTTTTTTTATGTTGTAGTTTTCTAGTGGTGGAGAATTATGTTTATGTGACTTCAAAGGAAACAGAACAAGAGTAACACAGTAGGTTCTAATATGATTTATACACTTTGAAAAAAAAAAAAAAAAAAACAGTTACATGCAATGGCCTAAACCATTCAACTTGTTAATAAAAATATTCAGTTGTCTAAAAATGAAATGCAAGAGCAACAAAGATCTCTGAATAAAATCAAAAAGCTTACATGCTGTTTAGACTTAAGGATATGCAAGACTGACTGAATGACTGGAGTTTTGCTTAGTATTTGTAATGGATGTTTTCTACAAATTGTGTTTTCCTTTCCTGTGCAGAAATAACAAATCAGGCTAAGGGTCTTAAAAATTACATGGGGCATCTCCATTTTGTTTAAAAAAATTGAGCATGCACGTCTGTAAGAAGGCGATTCTGTTCTCAAATCCATTAAATGGAAATTTGGTAGTTTTACAGATATTTGCAGTTTGAGTTATCTTTACCTTCAGATCAAAATAACACACTGAAAGCTGTTTTATTTCCTGTCTCTCTACCCACCTCAAGAAATGCTTTAGATACAGCCTAAAGAAACAATCAGAATAAAATCACAGTAGAATTTTACTCTTTACAAAGGAGATGTATTGCTCACTTTGAGAGGAACCCACAGACTTATCTCCATTTGAATCCCAGTCATTTTTGTTAGTGACAGAAGTTCTACACATCTGCTTTCATCAAATCGCAAGAACAGATGGAAGAGCTGCCAGCCTTAGACTTCTCCAATCATGCAGTTAAAAGCAACACGTACAGTTTCAAAGGAAAGGGAAGTAGTACAACACAGAGAGAAACAACACAACAAGGGAGAAAGAAGTTGTAGGACTATTCTTTTTTTAGAAGAAACGTACAAAGACAGAAATGAGAAATCTGAAATCCCAGTTTTTACTGCTCAATACCCAGACTGGGTATTCAGAGTAACCTGCCTCTGTAGCTTCAGGGCTGGAGAGATGAAATGGTATTTGCAGAAACTTTTACTCGCATACTCCAGACTAAGAAAGCAAAGAAAGAAAGGCAAGATATCAATAGAAACATAGATTTCCAACAGTCAAGTACTGAAATGAGAACTAGTGAAAAGAGAAACCTTAAAAGAAAGTAGAGAGACACCTGAAGCATTATTACAAAAATCAGAATAATCAGTTTAGAATTTCCTTTGAGAAACAGTTATGCAGTGCCCGAGTCTCTCTATGGTCTATTCTGTTACTCCTCCTCCATTTCTATTAGAGGTGTTCTTTTCCACTTTAAACTTTACTCAGAGGGGAAGCAGATCCTTAAGCCAAATTCCCATTTCCTTTGCCATTCCCTCTAATGTATTCCTGAACGGCTACATCTACTAAACAGCCTGGCCCATCTTCAAACTGATCAGATATGTAATCCTTACCACAAAGCATCTGAAACCAGAAAGTTTAATTAAATAGAGTTTTAAAAATGTGGCTCTATTTAAATAGATGGACGACATTATCTTGTTGTAGTCAAGAGCTTCATGTACTTGACATTATTACACAAACGATTTCCATTCCCATGCTGTATTGCTAACCCATTTTCTGCTGTTTCAGACCCGTGAGGGAAGAGCTGACCCAGCCCCAGCCTCTGCACATGACAGTACGCTCAGTTTCCTTGCTCAAGCAATCTGAATGAGGCCGGGCGTATTGGCACTGAAGAGGGCATCCTGCACTATAGATTTCAAGTACTGTTTTTAAGGAAATTAATCTTATCTGAATAAAAGTGAATAATAAAAACCATTATTTCCCCTCCCTTTGTCATAGCTCAATGTGGAATTTTAATGTCCTTGTTCTAGACTATGCTATAAATCCTCAACTTGTACACCTTAACACCCTGCAACACATTAAAAGGAGAACATCAAGCAGCACCAGAAGAGTAGGAGTACAGCACAGGAGAAATTTGAAAACGATCTACATGTATTTTGCTATCCTGGTTATTTCAGCAGAAAAATCAGAAGAAAAACCTTTAAAACCTGTAGCACACACACACTGATTTAATAGCCACTCTCCACTGACAGGTCTTACCCAAATCATTATTTTTTGTGATAGCTGCAGCTGCCCTTGCTCGAGGTCCCTGTTGTGTGAAATGGTATCCAAACTTGAGGATCTTGGTGTTTTCTTCAAGCATCTTGGCAATTTCTACTTCTGCAGCAGTGCCCAGCTGCTGCCTCTGTTAGAATACAAGGTACACAAAGACAACAGAGCTTACATGTATTCACTCTCAAAGAAAGCAAAATACTTTCATCACGAGTCAATAAACAATTCCTTTCATTTTGATTAATAGGAAAGGGAAAAGATCACAAAGTATTTTTGTGCAGTTTAAAAGCACAAGCAAGAAGAGAAGTGACCAGGAATCAGCTTAAACTGAATACTTCAGAGAATCTCAAGGACAATCTCTCATGTGGTTAAGAGATTTAAAAGTAAGGATTTTGGAAAGTTCATCACAAGGTGCCTTCTAAAAATATTTGGTCCACTAGGACAGACAGAGTTTAATTATATTTCCACCACCTCACTTACCTGGTTATCAATTTTGATCTCTGTTAATGTTTCGTTGTCTTTCAGTGCATCAACCAGTGCCAAAATTCCAGCTCCAGTGATGAAGTTTGATTCTATGTTTAAACTTTTTAATTTTGTGTTTACTCTCAGCATATCTGCAAGAGCCTTTGAATACAAGAAAGCATAATTAAACTTCTGTATTTTGCTACAGTACATCATAGGACACAGTGATAATAATTTCCACCGGCTAGTTCAGTAGGAGCAACAAGTTCACAGATGCATGGTGTAGCTTTGCAAGTTTCCACTTACTGAGACAGAAGCAAGTCTTCAACCAGGCATCAGCTACAGTCCTTTTTTTAACAGCATTTAGTCAAGAACAGGCCTGTCTTTCTCCTGTTACAAACTAAAAAGCTACACAGAATATAAATTGTCTGAAATTAACATACTGGACCAATTCCATTCTGTATGCCTTCACAGCACACAATGAGTAATGCCAGCTGCTAAGTAAAGGCCAAAGAAAGGACATTAGTCAACTGAAAGGAGAATTAGATATGGTTAATTTGTAAACAGGAGATCTGACTTGCAAAATGCTCCTTTCTACAGATTCAGTAGGAAGAAGTAAATTTCAAAGCTCTAAGCACAGTACAAGCATGTAGCCAAAAGCACTCTTATGGAAATGGCATATATCTGCTCTTATTTCTGAAAAAATAAGAAAATAAGAATAGCTAACTGCTGAGGTTTACTGTCATAAAAATAATAAACTTTAAATTCTTCCTGTATCAAGTCACAAGGTGGAAAAAAAAAAACCCAAACACCAAAAAAAAACCCCACACAGTAAACCCACACCTAAGAAAACAAGTCTTTGTAGATTTTTATTACAAATGTTTCAGTTCTACTGGAAAGAAACTTTTTAATGGACCCAAAACAAAGTTTTCACATGTTCATTTAATGAAGTATTTCAAACTAGTTTTTTTTTAATTTGAAATTAAAACAAAAGCAAAAGATTATGCTGGTAAAAGCATACAGTGCTGTTTCCTTACCTCTTTATTTGCAAATAAAGTACTGCTTTTGATTCAACACGGGAAAGACAGGACCAGATCATAAATACTTGTTTCACTTGTGTCAAACTAGATACCCTGACTAACATTATGCTTTATATGCCAATACTGTAAGCCAGTCTTTGGTAGCCAGGAGATCAGAGAAACAGGTATTGTACAGCTTTCTTGAACTAAAACTCTAGTTAGTTCAAAAAAACATTATGAGCTTTTTCAGTCCTCAAATGTGCTTCTTTTAAAGTTAATTTTGAATATACTATTGGCTCATGGAATGACCATCAGGAACTAAAGGATTAGGAAAGAAAAACAGGAAGGAGGTCAGCAAACTGAAGATTCAGTGGAACCGGCTGAAACGAAAGAATTCATCTCATTCATCTCATACCTGATACAGTGTTGCATATTAGTCAACTAGTAACTATGTACCAACTGATACAACAAAGGCCTGTTAAAGAAAACATACTTTACAGTGTAATGGAATTTAATCATTTTCATCCCTAAATATTCAAAGCAGATTCAACTCAATCCCTTGCCACTGTCCTTCCTCCTTTCCCTTGCACCCCACTTCAGCATGCCAGTGAGAGTACTTACGACAGCGACAGGATCATTGCTTCGGGTGGCTGCGAGGCTGAAGCTCCTGACGTGTGTGTTGCTTTCTAAGGCTTTTGCAAACTCCTTCAGCGTTGGAATCGGTATGTTCTTGAATTAAAAGCAGCATTTCACTCTCTTGAGATAGGCAAGTTTACCTCTGCCCCCCCAAACTTCTTCCATTATCTTATTCTCTTCACAGCAAAATGTAGGGTAACATTAACTATCTCAGGTCTCCAGCAGGCTCACAGTAAAGGTCTACATGTGTAGCAAAGCTAATGGCTCTGAAAGTCTGTGTCAATTCTACAAAGAAAAGTCATCTTTACTCTATCAATGCCATTGTCGCACTATTAAAAATACTTACCTGACTTGGAACTGTTACTGAGCAAAATTTATATAACTGAACATTCTGCAAACTGTCAACATCAAACCTCTCACAAATATAAAACAATTTAGAGCTTTAGACTGGTGAAGCCATTAGCATTTCATTCTCTGCATTACTGAGAATCATTCCACAGTCTGATAATTTTTACAGCTTAATAGCACTGGCTACTACAAATGGCTTAAAAGGAATAATTTTAGGTAATTAATTAGCGTACCAAGTTTCTCAGTTTACTGTATCAGAAATTTTGTTGTGTTGCCTTTTATTTTCATTTATTTTCTAGTGTTTCTAGCATTTCTCTACCGTGCAGCATCTTTAAACCATGTATTTAATTTTCATCTTTTCGTACAGGCTACAAATGGCCTAGGCTGTTAGCAAGGGTGCAGCTAGCAGCCCTTCACTGCTCTCTAAGTTAGGAGTGCTACAGTTCCATTTTCTTTCATGCCAAGATACAAAAGTTTCAGGCATGTTTAAAAATGCGACATTGTACTTATGAGCAGAAGTTGCCCTAATTGCTGACAACTCTTTTGTACAAGGATCAGAAGGATGTCAGCTACACGCATCACTTTGTTTGCAACAGCAGTAACTGAGAGCACATTGCTTCATCAAGGACAAAAGAGTCAAAGAAATAGTTAACTACACCATGGTGAACTGCTGGAACTGCTGCCAACTTGGCAGCAACAGAAATCTGGGCTGGCAGTAAGAAAGTCTAAGAGTTTTTAAATACGCGTGTAGCAAAAGAAAGCAAGATGGCTTATCAGCTTAGCTCCAGGCTCCTGAGATCACACACGCTGCAACAGTCAGCAGAAAGGCTCTAGGACTTCACAGGAGCCTACCACGCTCTTCTATAGAGGTTTGCAGGTTAAAGCATCTTCTGCTGAGAAAAAGCAGCATATTCACTGCAGACCCCAGGGAATTACCTTGATGTTATTTAGATTAACTTCAACAAGACGAGAATCATTATTTTTAATCCTTTGCAGTGTCTCCTCCACATTTGTGGGATTTGGTGGTTCATCAAAAACAGGCAACATTTTTTCACCTTTTACTATATCTGAAAAGTAAGGCACTTAATTGTAATCGAGCAGGCCACGTACATTCACTGTGAATAAATGATACTCATACTAAATATTTACTGTATTTAAAGATTGTATCACCAGTCTTTACATATCTTCCCCAACCAGAAACCATACACCATCCTCTCCTGACCATATTTTCATAAAGTTCAATTCTTTTCCAAAGGTGCTCACAGCCTGCTTTTTTTGCACACCAGCTTTTTTTCAGAAAGCATATAAAGTTGAATTACAAACACAAACATGAAAATTAAAACCAACACACACAAATGTGTGTTTATGTCTACTTTTACCCCCAAAAAGTGACTTAATTGCAGAGCATATTTTAGTGTACAAGGATTTTCTTTCCACTCTTGCCAGAACTCAATTAGCAATGTTACAGACGTCACATTTCCAATTCAACACTGAATAGTCTGCAAAGAATGCTAGTGCAACAGAAAACAGTTAACGCTATAGTAACTGAGTGCAGTACAAAGAATTCATTTATCTAGCTCTTCTGTACACACTTACTTGAGAAGCTGTCTTTGTCAACCCCATTACTGCTTCCTACGACATCACAGAACTGATTGTTTGTTATCAAGTTGGACATTCCCAGTATAGCTGTAAAGGGGAAAAAAAAGCAAAAAAAAGTTTTACTGTTCCTCGCTAACTCAGCTCAGATGCAGAGCTCCTTAAAAAAAAAAAAAAAAAACAAACTCATTTTCATAAGCCACCCAGTTATCAGCACAATAAGCTGTTCAATCTCTTAGTAATTTAAAGACAAGCAGGGAAAAAAATACTAATCAGTTACAGACTCCTTAGTTGGTTTTCACATCTTAGAAAGATCTGGCCTCATCAGGCTCAAGCATCACAGCTAAAAGTGCAGTTCAGTCACAAAATTCTTAACTGAGCTTTAGAAATACAGGCACATAGCAACACATTCTTACATGCCAGAAACAGCAGTAACATACAAAACATAAAACAGACAGCCTGACGAATGAACTTAAAGAGTTTGAAAATCTGGTATCTTTTGCAGGCCAAAATAATCTAACTTCCTATAAATTACCACAAATCAACAAAGCTGATACCCTACAACCAAACTGGTATATAACATGATCTAGTTTCTATCACAGTTTCCTATAGTCACATTTCAGATAACAAAGACACTACCCCATTAATTACAGATCTTTCTTGTCTAAATACATCAGCCCATTCATACATTAAAAAAAACTAACCTGCGAGGTCACCTAATTCTGTGTCTGTGGCACTGGTCAAGGCTTCCTCCAGTTCTGGATCAAGAGAGAATTTTTCTTCTGTGTAAGACTGTACAGGCTTTTGCTTGGGGATAAATACTTTCCCTGAAGCAAAGAAAATGAAAAGTCTATTGTTATTTTGTATTGTATAGGTACTTAAACTTTTCTGTACTTAAGGAATACACACTACATTTAGTAAACCCTGAGAAGAACACGAAGGACAAAATAACGGAAGGAGGTTTTCTTCTGTTCATTCTTAAAAGTCAGAGAAGAGGAAAGAGCACAAGCAGTGATATAACATTACTTATTCCAATTTTTCAGGAGCCTGTATCACAAATCCAATCTTGTTTGTTTCTCCTGAGGATTAGAAAGTAAAATATAAGCCTCCGTTATGCATTTTAAATAGCCTTGAAAAAATGCCCACAAGGGAAATTCCATGTGGCTGGAGAACACTGACTGGTACCCTCTCAAGGGAGAAAGGGACTCAGGCACAACTGTAATCCAAATGTGTCAGAGAAATACAGTATCAAAGAACCACCTGAAATCATGGACCTGAATATTCACTGCATTTTTGCAGCATACACAACTTCTCATTGCAGATGTGAATTTTGAAGGAAAAAAAAAAAGAGAAGTCTAAGCTGCTTGAGAAAATGTGAACCACACACACCAAGATAATAAATTTCTCTGCCAAGGACACTATTTTCTAAAATGATACTTAGAAAGGTCACAGAAGATTCAATGGGAAAAGGAGCAGTAGTAGTATGATGTTCTGCACAAACTTTTTAGGCATTTCAGGGAGGTAATGGGAAAGTTATTTCAGGAAACATGCATTATAAATAGAGGTCTAAGTAGTTAGCATAATTCCTGCATATATCTTCAGCTGAAAAGTTAGGGTAAGAAATCAGAATATGAGAAAGATATTCTAACAGTTATTCTGAAAGCAGTTCTGATTTGAATGATGTAGAATTGGCTTTTCAGAACAAAGAATTCTACCACTGGGTAAGAACCCTGGAGAGGTAAGAGGTGCTTAGGTTCAGGACAAATTAGTGTGGTAAATAAAAGCTCCAGTACTGTATGAGAGAACAGAAGTGATGCATTTGATAGGATAAATTCACAACTACAAAACTGTGAAGTTAATCTTAACAGTTACTCAAAGTTTGTCAGACTTTCCCAGCTGCCTGAGTTATCAGCAGACAGAGCTGTGGGAACAGGCTTCCAACTTTCTCTAGTTATTCCCAGGGTAGGAAGTAGTGTTGATGATAAAATGTTCCTGTGAAGTCTCATTGCTAATGCAGGAACTCGCCCTCTTCCATATTCATAGCTAGAAAACATTTCCACACACAAATCACTATTTCATTCCAACTGTGTAACTGCAATGAACTACTTGGTGAAAATCCACTGTGCACCAAAATCAGACCAGCAGGGCAGAAGCCCACCATTTTTTCCCCTCGTACTGCATACAGGTGTATCTTCTTACATGTTTGGACTAAGACGAAGTTTAGCATTTTTAAATACCTCCCAGTGACAGGAAGCTCTCTAGGGTTATTTCAGTTTTATTTCTGGGAAATTCCAACAAGGCAGGATTTGGGTTTCACCACTTGTGGGCAGCAATGCCTGAAGTCAGCTCCCACGTCCCACAGCAGACAGCAGGATAACAAAACCCGTTCACCTTTTATTTTTCTCCAAACTCCTACCCTAGACTACAACGGTTTGTGGTTCATTTTCTTTTTCATGGAACTTAATGCGTTACCACTAGCACAGACTACAAAGAAGTGTATTGGGTTTTTCTCTGACAACACAGTCTGATGACCAAGATCTGTTGCTAGCAACGGTATTTTTGTTCCTGGGTTGCTATCTCTTTGCAAAGTTGTATAAATGATAATTATCCATATTTAGAAGCAGAAAATAAATCTCCTTACATAACTGTACTGACTACAAACAGTAGCTGAAAGCAGCTGACATGCATTACCACCCATACCTCAGGTGTGATGGATGGTGCAAAACATACTACATTTGTGGTGTTTCAGGATTAAAAGAAAACCTTTATAAATTAAAGGCTTAGGTAGTAAATGTTTAAGATTATTTTGACGTAACTGATACAGCACATTTCCACTCCCATTTTACCAGTATCACCGATTGGAGAGAAAATAAATTTCAACTTAAACTGATATTTTTAGAAGAGATATGAGAATATTTGACAAAGTTTTCATTAACCCACGAAACACTGCATGGCATACACGTGATGTAAAGCCTTTCATTAGCTATGTTTGTGCTGTTTTCCCTCACTAAAATGGACTAGTAAAAAAGTGATGATTTCAGAGAAGATGGAATGAAAAGGACAGTGTGATTTGAGCATCTGAGCCTTTGTTCATGTCATATTACTTGCAGTATCAGTGCAGTGGGCAGTGCGTGGCAGAAGGGAACTGATCTCAATTAAAAGCAACTTTGTAAAAATGTACCTCAACCCAGATCAGCTGCCTATCTGGTTCATCACACAGGACTCACAAAAAAAGAATGGCTTCCCCTGATATTATTTCAAGTAATTCTTATATTCATAGGTTAGGAACTTCTGGTTCTAAACACTCGCTTCCTAAAGGTAAGACTAAATTTATCCATATATATCTGACTCTTAAGACAACCTAAAGAGAGAGGTATATTAGTTTCTATTAAAGCAAAAATGTTAAAAGCCACTTCCCTCCAGAAAAGTTCATTGCAGCCAACTCCAGTCACATGAACTGGGTCAGCAGCAGTTTTTCTTATAGAACAGGTCACACCCTTGTGTATACAATCTCTCATTCATTGGGTTCATCTCGTCCTGGCCCAGAGTTCAGAGGTTTACAATGCATATACAGAAGCTGGTTCTTCCTTACTCCCCAGTTCTAGTAACAAACTTACTTCAAAAATGCTAAGACCCCTGTGTCTCTGGGGACAATGATCTAACTCAAGGCATGCTGCCAAAATGGTTCGGCAATTCCCTTCCCCCCTTACTAATGTAAATTTTAGAAATAAAAAGACTACACATCTGTGCAGCCCAAGAGATGAATAGCTTTCCTGACACTTCAGTGGAACATTCCCAAACAGCAGGGATTTTATCACACGAAGGAGCATGACACAATCCTCTTTAGCTGACATGGATACTGCAAAGATTAAGCAATACAACATGAAGAGGCAAATTTCAGAGATGTTCATATAATTTCTGTAATAATTATATATTCAAGTCTTCTATGCCTTTAGTTAACATGTTAAATGATGTGTGTCCCAGAATTCACCAGCTTTCTTTGCTACAGAATGGACTTCCAGTTCCAAGTTCCACCCAGTCCTGTTACTGGCAGAACCCAGGGAAGGTGTCTGTTGAAGTTCCCTGAATGTTTCACACAGACTCACGGTACCTAAGGCGGGTCCAAAAACCTTGCAGAAATCAGGTCTGTTCAGTGTGGCCAAACACTGCCTGTTCCTGGTACTGTCCTCAACTATCCTCAGTTCTACCCCCATGCTAGTAGGCAGCAAGTGACCACAACTTCCGGGTCAGGAGAAAATTAAAATCCAGTCTGCAGCACTCTGTCTGCAGAAAAGGAACCACCTGTCCCCTGAGGACAACTGAATACAAGTGTGTCTCATCAGTCACTTCATGAAGAACGGTGAGCGACATCTGATACGTTCCTTAAAGTTTCATCAGTCCAGACACTGATATAATGCACAGTCCATCAGACACTGATATAATGCACTGTCCATCAACCGCCAATTCTTACCATGTGACACTCAGGTTCATCAAGTCACTTGCAAGCAAGGTTTAATACTAATTTTTTGAATTGAACTTACAACTGACCTCCTCAGTGTCTTGACTGTAGAAACAGTACTGTCACTGCTTTTCTGATTACAGAGCACATAACAGGGAGTTATAAAGCTGTTTTACATTGAGGCTAGAGCATCACATGCTATTTTGCTCTAGTGGTTTTGTATGGAGAACATCAGTCTGACAAGATGTTGCTCCAAATCTCCTATAGGATATTAGCTTCATGTTACAACATGTAACACACTTCCTTTAAAGACCATTGATTGAAAGGCAAACAGCACACTGCATCCCAAATCCTGCTTCAACAGATGCAAATGATGATGCAACAACTGAGCAGGGCAGCAACAAAAGAGCTCTAGCCAGGTGACTACAGCTTCAGCCTAACAATATTTTCTGGGTTATAGAGGAGGAAAAAAAAACCAAAACAACCCAACCAACATTAAAGCAGAAGTTAACATGAAATGCAGATCTTCACAAAACAAACATACCCCAGGCAGGAATAGAAAACCACAATTAGGAGAGCACAAAGGCTAGAAATGCACAGCTTAGCTCACAGAATGATTTGCTAATGCCTTGCATTATACAGCACAAAGTATATTGCTGATGTTATATATGCTTTTATCTCCCGTGCAATAATTCTCATTTTCTGGTGTTCCAAGAGAAGCAAAGAGCATTGATCAGCCTTGGTCAGGTGTGTGGAACACACTCGAGGCCAACAGACTCCAGCTCTGAAGCTGTTTGGATGAGACCCTTCTCCTTGCAGCGTGCCTTGCAAAATCTTTATGACGTACTTCAGTACAGAGATTGAGACAAAGCTAGTTTTGTTAAAATTATTACCACATGGCTCTCATGAATCTCTTGAACAATGGTTTACTGTATGGTTCAACACTTAATTGGAACAGAATGTGACTGAAGTCATTAAATAGTGTTTAAAAACCAAGTATGTTTTTAGGGATGCTCTTAGAAACAAAGCAACATTCTTTTAATTATATGTTACCCAAAATGAGGTACTTAGGACAACTGGAAGAGAGGATTTTCCTTTAAACTGAAAAAATTACCAGAATCTTTAGCCAGCTGGCGCGTTTAAAATTAACCCAGGGTAAGCCTCTTTGATAAACTAAGAGGCCAAATTGCTACGCAGGACATCAGTTCTACTAAAACAGGAAAAGGAAAGAGAGAAGGATACACTTCCCTCTTACTACTCCATGAAATGAATAATTAGACCAAGCTAGAGAATGAGACCAGAGAGGCACACAGAACTATTTTAGCAAAGCCTGACCCACAATGATGGCACCAAGAAAATAGCTGCCACTCCAATCCATCACTCTCCCCTCAAAACCTCAAGATCTGAAGGTTATGACTGTCTGTTTTCATCTGAATTAACAGACTATTCAAGCAAGATTTTCACCTGCCCCTGTTTCACACTTTGTTAGCATTTTTCCATAAATACATTTAGCTAGCCAAAGAGAAAAACTATAAGTCAGCTTAGTTGTACTGGGTTTTTTTAATATTAAAGACAAGCACATTAGAATAAGAGCTCCATCTAGATAAAAAACCATCCTACACAAGTATTAAGTTTTACTCCACTCCTCCAAATTTTACATCTCGATAAAGGTAATGATTTCTTGATTTAAAATACTAAGTTACATGGTTTTGCCAGTTTTGTGCAAAATGGCTACAAACATGGCGGCAAGTCAAAGCTGAGCCCTAACATTTTCCTGAGGGGAAAAGGTTATCCCTCATCTGCTACAAAACAAGCTTAGCCTTCCTGCCTCCTCCTGCCCATTTAAGAGAGCATGAATTTCCATACTAAACATTTGTTTCCACATTTTTAGTTTTAACAAAAGTAAGCTACACTTCATTTTTCATATTATTTTCTCTTCTTCTACGGTACTAATATAAATGGTAGAAAAAAGATATTAAATAGCAACTTTTATTTTTTAAGAGATACAGGAAATTTTATTAAACTGGTATGACATATTGCAACATCCAGACTGCTGTTTAGTAATACTTCATTACATAGAGGAAGTGACATTTGATCTTTCTTAACCAAGATCTACGTTACAGCTGGACCCTTCTGTTCTTCTACATGATTCTCACAGATTTTATCTATGCAAACAAATAGTTTTGCCATGTTCATGTATACACAAGCTGACTTTAAAGAACCACCTATCTGAATGAAGCACTAGCACTCAGTAGAAAAATAATTACTAACTAGAGCAAGTCCTCCATGCCCAGCCTCACATCCCAATGGAGCAGCGTACAAGCTAGCCAGGCTTCAAGGAATTCCCCAAACCAGCTATGAGGGCCAAATATACTTGGACTCAATCATATTAACCCATTCATCAGCAACATCCCATTGTCCTGTGAGCAAAGGAGCACCCCAGTTACCGTCTCTGAAAAACAGTGGTGTCATGCTACACAGATAAAGGTCTCTTCCAATGCAAAGCACTCTAGGAGTCTACAAATGAGGCAAAGCACAGTGTGTTAAGGAAGCATCTACATCTACCTCATCTACAGTGCAACACAATGTGAAGTCACAATTTCACTGTTACTTCAAGGAAAAGAAAAAAAGAGAGACCAACATTGTCAAGTAAAAGCTGTCTGGTAGAGGTAAAGAAAATGAAAAGACTCCCAACAAACTTTTTACTGATTATATACCACAACCCCACATACAAACTCAGTAGATAAATGAAGACTGATGTCTGAAATAAGCAATAATTTGCACTAGAATTAAGTAGAATTAAGGGTTTTCAAGCCCTTAAGAAGAAAGGAGCCTGTTCCTCTTGGGCAGTCGGAATACAATTTATCAAACAATTTACTGAAATCTTACTGCAGCAGATCTGCCCTGCTGCTGAGGAGGGTTCACACAAGCTTGGATTCACAAGCAGCACACAAACACTGTGGTGACAGCTAAAAGCCTCCTCCTATGCATATCTGCCCAGCAGGGGACTGGGAGTTTCTGTCCCTATCAGAAAAGCTTAGTGAAGCACAACAAATTTGGGAACTCCTGCTTGTAGGAAAGAAATAAACCAATCTATTAGTACAGTATTTATGGTGCACATTCTGTTTCAATTTTCTTCTGAAAAGGAAAATGCTTCCCGTCAAGTCAACAAGACTAGATCCAAAACAATGATTTCAAATCCCAGGCTTTAATAATGTGTCCACTCACTGGGTCAATGTTTCCATGGGTTTTAGACCACAAACCACTGCCACATTTCAAAGCTTCTTGCAATGTTAACTACGTAATTAGTTAATAATAACAACTGCAATCTTATTAAACCTCTCAGTAAGGATACTAGAAAGACAATGTGACTGCATACACCACTTGCCAGGCCTTGTCAGCCTATGATGTCTTTAAGCATTATTGAGTATCTACCACAACATCCTTCTACTGCTTTTTTTCTCAATTCAGTGAATTAGTATTACAAATATTACTGCCTGTACTCAGCACCACAGAGCATAAGCCACAGGCACAGCAACAGCACTTGTTATTATTAACACAAACCAGGGGTAGCTCTTGCTTTGAGGATATCACCCCCATCAGAACTTTTTAATCTTCGATAAAATCTTCTGAGCCTTATTTCCTTCCTGTGCTAGATGCAAACAGCAAATCAGTCCCAGTACCACAAAACGCTTGACAGGAAGCATCCTGCTTCTGCACAGGAGCATTCATTCGGAAACACCCCGTGCTAAAAAACACTAGAGCTGCCAGATGCTTCAATAAACTTTGTCTCACAGTACTTCTGGCTAGTCCACTTCAGAGATTGCATAACCACCTACACCGGAAAGGGTGGTGTTACCTTTCTTTTCTCTTGTAAAAGGCACATAGTCTTCCCTGTCTTTGTGCTCAAGAGCCTGCTTCTCTAAATATGCGAGGAGTCGTTCCCTGTCGAAGGGACCTGAAGCCTTTTTGGCAGTCTGGTCTTTCTGTCGGAAGCCTGCAGGCAGAAGTGCATTCTGCAAAACAAAATGGAGCAAATAAGAACAGCTTAGAAAGTCTGAGTGAACACTTGTGTAGTTTCTGACCATCCCTCTTCCCTCTCTCTCTCCCCAAGGTTAAAATCCAATACATTATCCTTTTTAGGCAATATTTGATCCCTTGCCAACTTCCTTTTTTTGGTGGGCAGTGGATAACAAGAGGTAATCTATTCCTTAGACACTAAGAATATAACTACACAAATAGAGCTGCATTCTGAATAGGCACTCAAAGCAATTCTTTAAGTAAAATAACTCCCAGCACTAGACTTGCTAATTACTTCACATTTCTAGAATGAACACTGTTTTTAAAGGAGTAGTAGTAAATAAATAAAACTCAGTTACTTAAGAGTTCAGACATTCACCAAGACACTGTTTCCTCCATCACTTATATCCATGTGTTTGCAAATCTTTAAGACAACTGCCTATAGTATTGTCCAGCATTTAACAGAGTGTTTCTATTTTTAACTTGACTCAAGGTGGGGTGTTGTTTTGCTACTAATATATTTCAGTTAAGGAAAAAAAAAAAAAAAAACACAACAGAAAACAATAGAGGATATTATTATGCAAAGAACAGAGTTTATAGAAAGTCTGACTGTCATAGAAGACAACCAATCACTTTTGCCACTGCTCCTCTGTTAAATATCTATAAAGCCACAGCTAATTAAAATACCAAGAATATCTTTTGGTGCAACAAAATAGGTGATCATAATATTCTTAAGTGATCCCAAAACATCAGGATTAGCATTAATCCTGGTACTATTAAAGAGAGAACAGAGAATCAGGAGGTGAAAACACAAGTTTTGGACTCCTGACATTAGCTGTAATATCAGTAGAGGACATAGCTCTCTACAACAGAAAACTAAAATATTCCTTATTCAATACCTCATGCTGACATAACCATTCAGGAGCCGAGTACTTATTTCCTTCTCTTTGCACAGTCAGCACAAGGACAGGAATAGATAGAAGCTACCAGATACAGGAGCAGGAATCTTTAGAAGAGGTTAGTACCCTCTCCCATCAAATTGCAAAGGCAGAAGCAACAAAATAAAAATGTATGTAAAAGGGCTATTTACCAGACAACACTGGAAACAGGAAAGTTAAACAGGACTTCCTAAATAAACGTTCTTTGCAAGAACATGATTAAGAACAATTTTTATTTATAAATAAATCCCAGAAAGCTCCTCCTGATAATTTCCCTACCATTCTCCTCTAATACAGTTGCATTCATATTGCAAACAGGAAATAAACAGTAAAAAAATTATATACCCGTATGTATGTAAATAAGAATATTAGCAGATTAGGGGAGAAAAAATTGTCCAAAAGTGCTTCTGAAGAAGTGAAAAAAAAAAACAACAAAACACTTATTTTGGCTAATACCTACCTCAGGATCAAGATCATCCAAAACATTTTCCAGTTGTTTCAGTTCTTCTTCTGAAAGTTTGCCAAGAATTTCATCCTCATCGAGATCTTTGTACCTGTCCAAGTCCTTTCGAAATGGGAGCGTCATGACTTGGACACTATCAAGTTGCTGAAACACTTCAAAACCCAAATCTTATGCTTAAACAGATCTATAAAGAAAAAAGAAAATAGCTGAGGTAAATATCCCAACTACAAAGCTTCAACCTCCAAACACATCACTGAAAAGAAAGCTTTTCATCCAACATTTGTATCTATCTGTTACTCTACAACAGAAAAAGAGCACTTGGAAGCTCTCTGCACCTTGGTTCTTCACTGACAAGACTCCCATCCTGTCACACCTGTCAGTAACTGAGCTATACACATTTTCAGACAAATGCCAGTACCCAGTTTCCTCAGTGAGACCTCCAAGACCACAACTGCCACAGAGCTGGGCAGGCTGTAGGGTAGGAGGGAGGAGACACCAACTGTGCCTATTACTTATGAGTCCAGCTTCACACCACTGGGTTTTACAGATACTGCAGTCAAAAGCATGTTAAGATGCCTCCCATTTATTGTTGTGCTGCTGTTGGAGGGCAGTAAAGGACAGCCTCACTACAAACAAGCTACTTGGTTATTACTGACTCATATCCCTGCCCATTACCTACAGAGGGGACAAAGGAAGTTTGCCTCTGAGTTAATGATGGCATTACCACTGGAGTAACATTCTGTTCTGTCCAAGGAAAATGAAAATACCTCAATGAAAGGCTTTGGGAATACAGCTCCTAAACAGCAGCACTCCAGTCAACCCTATTACCAAAAAAAAATTACAAATACAGAACTGACTGCATAACTGCTCACTAAATATTAAACTTAGAGGAAGCTGGTGTCCTTCAAAAGATGTACAGTCTATATAGTACTTCTAACAAGGAGAGAACAATGAACCTTTTTCTAACAGTCGCAATTTTCGAGCATTTGGCTTGGAAAAAAACAAACAACTAATCACAGCAGTGCTGAAGTAGACAAATCGGTTTCTTTCAATTTTCTGTAAGTAGTTCTGGGATTCTCCTTTTGTTCAGCCAAACTCTTGCTTCAATTTGAGCACACAGAAAAAAGTCACTTGAGTGATTCTCTGTAAGTGAACACGAGTGCACGTAATGTATTTGGGGGGCAAAAGCCAGATCCATACATTCAGGCTTGCTAGCCTCCCAAACACCTTTCTCAGCTCTACAGAAACATTCAACACAGATGAGACATACAGCCAACGTTATTTCTTCTCCAGTAGCCCATAACCCAGTTCAGACCTCACACCACATACACTAACTGCGTTACTTCAAACCTGCACTTACGCTGTTCAAAACCAGATCAATTTGAACTTATTGTCTCTGAAGTAAAAGGAAAAGAAGGGCTGTATATACATACTATACCATGGAAAACTGCTTACAGAATTCCTTCACCTCAGCTGTTTACATCAAGAAAGGTCTCCCTGGCTGTCACAGTTCCATACAGTGATATTGTAATTCAGAGACACTGAACAGACATGAGTACGTAAAGGTTCACCAACACCATTCAGTCAAGTTTTCCTGTAAAGTAAATCTGTTTTCAACAATTGCCTTTGCAAGCATGTTAAGGTTTCAGTTCTTACCAACATCTACCTCTGAATGAGGAATATCTTTACAGCTATTTTCAGGATGTCTGCTTTTAAAAACACATTGCTGATATAAACTCTAGAGCTTATTTGTAAATCACAGTTGACACTGATAGGACACCACTCCAAAGCTGAACTACCAACAGAGGTAAAGTTCTCTGGAACATAACAAAAGCCAGGAAGAACTCTCAGTTTCACAGTAAATTATGTCAAAAGGACAGTGTCTAGCTTCCTCCAAACTAAAACCAATCTCATCGGAAG